GGGTGTGGTGTGTGGGGTGTGTGGGGTGTGTGTGGGGTGGTGTATGGTGTGTGTGGGGTGGTCTTTGGTGTGTGTGGGGGGTAGTATGGGAGGGGGGGGGCTCATTAACATATCAATGGAACTGGGGGAGCGAGACGCGGCCATGCAACGCGGCCCTCACTCACACGCCCCCCACAGCACCCACGACTGCTGCTGCTGGCGGGCTGGGTGATGGTTTGAGTTGGTGGGAGCACTTGCTCCTACAGTCTGTTAAGGCTACACGGGGGATCTTTGGTTTTGGTGTTGTTTATGGAGATTATGGTGGTTGATGCTAGTGATGGGGAGCGGTGGCGCAGTGCTTAGCGCGCTGCACTACGAACCCCTGCCACCCGAGTTGTATTCTCGCTCACGCCCAACACCCAGTGGCGATGATCTGAACCGGTCCTGGGTCTCGTCGAGGTCGACTCAACCTGAAATGAGTACCTGGTGCGGTGTAGTGTAGTAAACATCGCCACTAGGGAGACAAAGGCGGTCCGCCGTGGTGTTGGCCACCCACCCCCTCGTGTGTCATGCCGGCCTTCATTAACATAACTTGCCCTAATAGTCGGTTAAAGGCTATATGGGGAATCTATGTCTAAGATAGTGGTGATGATAGTGGCGACGGCGATAATGGTCGTGGTGGTGATGATAGTGGTGGTGGTGATGGTGGTGGTAGTGATGATAGTGGTGGTGATGGTGCTGGTAGTGGTGGTGATGATAGTGGTGGTGATGATGGTGGTGGTGATGATAGTGGTGGTGGTGGTGGTGATGATAGTGGTGGTGATGGTGATAGTGGTGGTGATGGTGCCGGTAGTGGTGGTGATGATAGTGGTGGTGGTGTGATAGTGGTGGTGCTGGTAGTGGTGGTGATGATAGTGGTGGTGATGGTGGTGGTGATGATAGTGGTGGTGATGGTGGTGGTGATGATAGTGGTGGTGATGGTAATGGTGGTGATGATAGTTGTGGTGGTGATGGTGGTGGTGGTGATGATAGTGGTGGTGCTGGTAGTGGTAGTGATGATAGTGGTGGTGATGGTGGTGATGATAGTGGTGGTGATGGTGCTGGTAGTGGTGGTGCTGGTAGTGGTGGTGATGATAGTGGTGGTGATGATAGTGGTGGTGCTGGAAGTGATGGTGATGATAGTGGTGGTGATGGTGGTGATGATAGTGGTGGTGATGGTGGTGGTAGTGGTGGTGATGATAGTGGTGGTGATGGTGGTGATGGTGATGATGATAGTGGTGATAGTGGTGATAGTGGTGGTGATGGTGGTGATGGTGGTGAGGGTGATGATAGTGGTGGTAGTGATGGTGATGATAGTGGTGGTGATGGTGGTGATGATAGTGGTGGTGATGGTGGTGATGATAGTGGTGGTAGTGGTGGTGATGATAGTGGTGGTGATGGTGGTGATGGTGATGATGATAGTGGTGATAGTGGTGGTGATGGTGGTGAGGGTGATGATAGTGGTGGTAGTGGTGGTGATGATAGTGGTGGTGATGGTGGTGATGATAGTGGTGGTGATAGTGGTGGTGGTGATGGTGGTGATGATAGTGGTGGTGGTGATGGTGGTGATAGTGGTGGTGGTGGTGATGGCGAGTGCCAGCCCATGAGGTTGTGAGGCCATTCTGAACTCCGTGCAGTCGGGCGAGACGCGTGTGTGTGGGTGCGTGTGTCACTGTGTGTGTGCTATTGTGTGTGTGTGCTATTGTGTGTGTGTGCTATTGTGTGTGTGTGCTATTGTGTGTGTGTGCATGTTGTGTGTGTGTGCATGTTGTGTGTGCGTGTTGTGTGTGTGTGGTGTATGTGTGTGGGTTCGATTCTCGCTCACGGCCAACACCAGTGACGATTATTTGAACCGGTCCTGGGCCTCCCCTAGGTCGACTCAGCTTCAAATGAGTACCTGGTGTGGTGTGTAAAAATCGCCACTGGGGAGACAAAGGCGGTCGGGCGTGGTGTTGGCCACCCACCCCCTCGTATATTGTTCCGGCCTTTAAAGGTGCTCGCTAACAGCACTTGTCCCATCAGTCTGTTCGAGGCTATACGGGGGATATTTGTCTTTGGGTGCGTTTGGCACTGTGTGATATTGTTTTTGTGTGTTGCAGTGTGTATGTGTGTGTGTGCTATTATGTTAATGTGTGAGTGTGGTATTGTGTGTGTGTGGTATTGTGTATGGTGTTGTGTGTATGGTATTGTGTTAATGTGGTTCTTATGTTGGTGTGTGTGTGTGGTATTGTGTGTGTGTGGTATTGTGTATGGTGTTGTGTGTATGGTATTGTGTTAGTGTGCTTCTCACGTTGGTGTGTGGTATTGTGTGTGTGTGGTATTGTCTTTGTGTGAGTTTGTGGGGAGCGGTGGTGTAGTGGTTAGCGCGCTGCGCTAGGAACCCAGCCACCCGAGTTCGATTCCCGCTCACGGCCAACACTAGTAGCGATTATCTGAACCAGTTCTGGGCCTCCCCTAGGTCGACTCAGCTTCAAATTAGTACCTGGTGCGGTGTGTAAACACATCGTCACCGGGGAGACAAAGGCGGCCGGGCGTGATGTTGGCCACCGACCCCCTCGTGTGCCGTGCCGGCCTTCATAGGTGCTCCTCGCTAACAGCACTTGCCCCCACAGTATGTTAAGGCTATCGGGGGATTTTTGCCTTGGTGTGTGAGTGTTGCTATTTTGGTAGTGTGGGACGAGGGTGGGGGTTCTGCATTGTGTTGGGGAGCGGTAGTGCAGTGGTTAGCGCACTGCCGGTAGACACCGTTCGATTCCCGATCACGGTCACCAACACCAGCGACGATTATCTGAATCAGCTTTGAGCTCAACTCAGTCTAAATGAGTATCTGGTGAGATGTGTAAACATCGCCACTAGGGAGACAAAGGCGGCCGGGCGCGGTGCCGTACCGACCTGTATAATGTGCTCGCTAACAGCACTTGCCCCAACAGTCTGTAAAGGTCCCACCTGATGACGGAGACTTGTGTTGCCTCCGAAACGTCGTGATCTTTATTTTATTTTTATTAATTTTGATGTTTTACCTACGTACACTTTACCGAAAAAACCTAAGAATATGAGTCTGTAAAGGCTAAACGGGGGGGGATCTTTGATTTTTGTCTTTGGTGGTGGCTGTGATGGTTGTGGTTATGGTGTTAGTTGTGGTTATGGTGTTGGTGGTGGTGGTGATAGTGGTGGTTGTGATTGTGCGTGTTGTGGAGGTGCTTGTGATGGTGGTTGTGATGGTGGTGGTTGTTGTGGAGGTGATTGTGATTGTGGGTGTTGTGGAGGTGGTTGTGATGGTGGTGGTTGATATATGGTGAAGGTGGTTGCGATGGTGGTGGTTGTTGTGGAGGTGATTGTGGGTGTTGTGGAGGTGGTTGTGATGGTGGTGGTTGTCGTGGAGGTGGTTATGATGGTGGTGGTGATAGTGGTGGTTGTGGGTGTTGAGAAGGTGGTTGCGATGGTGATGGCTGTGGTGGTTGTGATTGTGGCTGTTGTGAAGGTGGTTGCGATGGTGGTTGTGATGGTGGTGGTTGTTGTGGAGGTGATTGTGGTTGTTGTGGAGGTGCTTGTGATGGTGGTGGTTGTCGTGAAGGTGGTTGTGATGGTGGTGGTGATAGTGGTGGTTGTGATTGTGGGTGTTGTGGAGGTGGTTGTGATAGTGGTGCTTGTGACTGTGGTGGTGCTTGTTGTGAAGGTGGTTGCGATGGTGATGGCTGTGGTGGTTGTGATTGTGGCTGTTGTGAAGGTGGTTGCGATGGTGGTGGCTGTGGTGGTTGTCAGCAAGTCACGTGAACATGCAGCTGCCATGGGCTGTCTCGCCAAGTTTCCACGGCACTTCAATCACATCCAAGGGCCAGCAGCCCCGCCTCGGCCGCCTGGGCCGCGTGGCCAGGATACCGGCGGCTGCTGCTGATGCTGCTGCTGATGATGCTGCTGCTGCTGATGCTGCTGATGCTGCTGCTGCTGCTGATGCTGCTGATGCTGCTGCTGATGCTGATAATGCTGCTGCTGATGCTGCTGCTGATGATGCTGATGATGCTGCTGATGCTGATGCTGCTGATGCTGCTGATGCTGATGATGCTGCTGCTGCTGATGCTGCTGATGCTGCTGCTGCTGATGCTGCTGCTGATGCTGCTGATCCTGCTGCTGCTGCTGATGCTGCTGATGCTGCTGTGGCTGTTGCTGCTGCTGCTGCTGATGCGGCTGCTGCTGATGCTGCTGCTGATGCTGCTGCTGATGCTGCTGATGCTGCTGCTGCTGCTGCTGATGCTGCTGATGCTGATGCTCGTCCGTGTTTCCCCGTGCCGAAACCATGGCTTACCAACAAGGCAGTACAGCAAACGCGGACCTCACACATTCCGTCCGTGTGGGATAAGAGCGTTACCCAGCTCGCACTCGTGGGTTTTCTCAATGTGCGCTGGTTTGCTCACACACGCCAATGTTCATTAATCATATGTAGAGGATGGCAGAGCTTGGCGAAAATTGTTGGCTTCCTCCACCCTGGCGCCTCCCTAAGTCGTTCCCTCTCTCTACGAGATCGATGAGCGGAGACTGGGGCGCGTTACAAGTCGAAGTTACATACGATATGCGCACAGAGACAGGGAGACGTGAAGCCATCATTTTAATACAATTCTCGTTTAATCACCCGGGACAGCATCACTTAACACGTAACAAGCACGCGTGTCGCGCGCGTATATCTGTGCGTAACGTGTGTGTGTGTGTGTAACGTGCGTGTGTGTGCAACGTGTGTGTGTGCAACGTGTGTGTGTGTGCAACGTGTGTGTGTGTTCACATATACGCGAGCAGTGGATTTGCTGCCACGTGCTTTCTTCCCCTACCCCACACACATCGCATCACCATCCTCTTCTCCTTCGCCGCGCAACTCTTAGCGAGCGCACGCTCCGCCTACTCACCGGCCCCCGAAGCAGCTCACCTTCTCACCCGCTCGCTCACCTGCCCCACCATTCACCTGCCAAATCACTTGCCCGCCCGCCCGCCCACTCACCTGCTTACCCACTCACCCGCCCGCCCCGTTGGCCTTTATCCCGGTTGGACAGCGGACTCCCACCACTCGTACAAGTTGATGTCGTGCCATAATTGTGGTGTTGACAAGTTGCACTAGCACGACATACACGAGCCTAATTTAGGGTCTAGCGGCAGCGGCAGGGGTAGCAACAGCAGCAGCAGCAATAGCAGCAGATGCTGTAACTTCTCAAATGATCCAGGAGCCGCCCACGCAGCCCTGAGCAAGCATCGCAAAGTGTCGGTGCCAAAAGCTCACTGGATAATTATTCAAGTTCTTACGGGCCCCAGGTTAGAAACCAGTTAAGAGTTGAACCTCCAGAGACAAAGTCACGGAGAGAATATCGCAGGGGTTCGGACACGGGAGAACACTTCCAGTTAGCACGGTTGGCTACGTACGGTGCGAAAGAAGTTAAACATACATACACTGGCGGAGCTAGGGGGTGGTGGGGTGGCACGTGCCCCCCCCCCCCCCAATGATCCGATAGATTGGATCATTGGGGTTTATTAGTGATAAATCGACAACCCCCACTGCCACTGTGTAGCATATTATTATGTGCCAGGGAAGCTATCAGATGATAGGACAATAGTCTGAGTACATAATTGGCAATAGGTAACGGCAAAGCGGTTATAAGTGGCTCACAGAATTCTGCGCAGTAGCGGATACAGTACACGACTTCCCTGAAGGCATTCACCTTCAGCGAGCGCGATGCCGATCACACAACGCGGTTCGAATTAGACCCTCGATCGATGGCTGAACCATCGCCGCACACGCGTCGAGTAAAAAGCCATGAGCAAGTCCTTACTAACAACTCTATCATGTTTCATGGCTGGAGGGGTTGCCCCCCCTACCTGAAAATCCTGGCTCCGCCATTGCATCCATCCGTACAACATATTGAGGCCCGCAGAGCTCTGGCGATGGTTGGTAGCGCCGCCTCCTAACTGCTAAGCTGCTGCTGCTGCTGCCTTACAGCTTTACTGTGGTTCCTCGGAAATTGTGAGAGATGCGATTTGCATGAACGATTCTATGTAAAACTAAACATCGTCACTATTGTAATAAGTGGAAGAGGAGATTGGGGGGGGACAGCATGAATCCAGGTTCGGGATAGATCCAGCAGTAAAATATATAGAAGAGAAAACATTGAGGCTGAACGAAGCAGCATCATTGGCTCAAGAGAGAGACCGGTGAAAGGAATTATTGGGTACCATTACCACGAATGAACCGATGGAAGAGACAGATGATGATGATCATGACCCAGACACTGTGTCGAACTACATTTGCTCATACATATAGAGGCACTCTGTCTAAACTGATTCGAGGTGCGGAGTCACAAGGCCAAGGCCCTGAGTCTGTTAGGCGCAGGCCCCAACTCCCTGTTAGAAAAAAGTGAGTGTGGACCTCTGCGGGGAGTTTGACATCATCTACTTTCAAAAACAGTGTGGGAGGACCGGGTGTGGCAGTCGCAGACTCCAGGATTCAGTTTTCTACTCATCTAAAGAGCCTCGGCACCATTCTCGACCAGAACATGTCGTTTGATCGCCACGTGCAAAATGTCGTCAGGTCCTGCGATTTACATTTTAGGACTTCATGACATGTTCGACCTCTATTGAGTCGTGACATAACCAACACGGTGGCGTGTAGCATGGTATCGACGAGGCTCGATTATTGCAACTCACTACTCTACTGGACGTCTGGCAAAAACGTTACCAAGCTGCAGCGCGTACAAAATGATTTGGCGCCTGTCGCGACGGGTACTGCAAGACCTGACCATGTCTGTCCGGTGCTCGCTGAGCTGCATTGGCTTCTGGTTGCTGAACGAACACATTATAAGGTCGCACTCATTACACACAAAGTACTTTGCCACAAATGAACCACAATACCATGCTGGTCTCGTCAAGGAACATAACCCATCACGCGAACTCCGGTCATCCTTGCAGCGGCTTTTGGCGAGCCATCGAACAAAGATGGTCACTGCATAACGCACTTTTGGATGCGCTTCTGCGGCCGTCTGGAACGCTGTTCCGATATTAGGAAGCCACTGGAGATATGCACTTTTAAATCATCTAGATTGAAAACTCTTTAACCTTAGTTGTAATTCACATTGGCCAAGATGACAGATTTATTTTGAAAGTCATTTGATTTTAATTACGGTTTAACATTTGCACGCAAGTGCATTATCGATACGTGTCGTAAATTTAACTCATTGAGAAATTAGTACGTCAATCGATTGGCTCCGTACCAAGGAGGCCCAGACCAGAAGAAAAGTTGCCCTCGTTTGTTTTCTAACCCCACCCCCCACCACCACGCCCCCACACACTGTCTACGCAATTACAGCCACAATGGGGATGCACGGCTGTGGGACTCAATGGTGATAATGGCGACGGCACTGGGACTTGCGTGCGGTGCAACGGATTGTATCATTACCCACAGAAAAGCAACGGTATCGGCGCACAGTGGCGACACGAGGAAAGCTCTAGTAGAATCTGCATGGGTGTGAAGCGAGCGGTGGCTTTTGGGAGCCGGCCCTCCCCCCTATGGCCTTGCTAGGGGCCGCACTGAGGCCACGGCAGGTACAGCCGAAGCTCAGCGGCCGCATCCTCTTGTGGCGAAGAGCCACCGGCCGGTGCACAAAGCCTCCACATGCCCCTCCAAGTGGTGGGAGGGGAGGGGTGGGGGAGGTAGTCACACCTACAGACAAGGCGTTGCCGTCGTTAGCCATCAGTGACTGCCATTCTGGTAAGAGAAGGCCCCCGTTGGGGAGCTGGGCTGGGTCCCCGACGGGACAAAGTAGGGAGCCTCCCACGGGTGCTTGGCGGTCGGGCTCGGCGGGGTGGTGTCCGTCACGGGCGTTGCCTTGTACTGGCCCGGCTGCGGGTACGCTGGCGCCGTGGGGTTTGGCGCAAACGCGGGGGGGAACTGGGGCACCCCGTACGCCGCCGGGTAGGGCATCATTGCGCCCCCCGGGAACTGCGGCGCGCCGCTCATTGGGTACGACATGGCGGGGGGGCCACCGGCCGGGTACGTCATTAGGTGGCCCGGCATGAATGAGGGCATCGCTCCCTGCTGGAACTGCATCATGGCCGGATTGGCCATCATCATCATCATCATGGTGGACATCATCATCTGCCGCGCCGCCATCGCCGCCTGGGACGCGGCCTCCGGCGACATCATCATCATCGGCTCCGGAGACATGGGAGGTCGCGGCGGGGTGCCGGGCGCGTGCGGTGCAAGCGCCGCGGACGGCGGTGGCACCGGCTCTGGCGTTGGCGGTGCCACCGCCGTCGTCTCCGGTTGGGCCGTTGTGTATGGAGCCATCAGTGGCGCCATCAGCTGTGACATCATCATGGCCTGTGAGGACACATCCTGCGGCATCATCATGTACGGGTACTGCGGTGCCATGTGAGACAGCGCCTGCTGCTGTTGCATCAGCTGCTGTTGCATCTGCTGCTGTTGCGTAGGCTGCTGTTGCATCGCCTGCTGTTGCATCAGCTGCTGTTGCATCTGCTGCTGTTGCGTAGGCTGCTGTTGCATCGCCTGCTGTTGCATCTGCTGCTGTTGCATCTGCTGCTGTTGCGTAGGCTGCTGTTGCATCGCCTGCTGTTGTTGCATCAGCTGTTGCTGCATCAGCTGTTGCATCAGCTGTTGTTGCATCGGCTGTTGTTGCGTAGGCTGTTGTTGCATCAGCTGCTGTTGCTGCATCAGCTGTTGTTGCTGCATCAGATGCTGTTGTTGCATCGGCTGTTGTTGCATCAGCTGTTGTTGCATCAGCTGTTGTTGCGTAGGCTGTTGTTGCATCGGTTGTTGTGCAATTGGCTGCGGTAGTTCCTGTTGCATCAGATGCATCGGTTGTGGAAACGGAGGCTCAGACTGTGGCTGTCTCTGCAGTTGCAAATTTTGTGGTTGTGGTGCTTGTGTCGGTTCTTGTGGCTGTCCCGTGTGCAGCTGTTGCTGCTGCACCGGTTGCTGGCGGTTAAGCTGTGGGTCCCTGTCCAGTTGTGTCTGCTTGGTGGCATTCGTCTGGCTCTGCTGTCTGTCTGGTGGCTGTTGCGCTCTGTTTGGCTGTGTCTGCAGCTGAGTCGGTGGCTTGGGTGGTTGCGCCACCGCCGGTGGCCGCGTGGTCGCTTGTGCTTGAGCCTGGGTTCTCCTCTGCCACAGCAGGGATTTATCTGGTGCCTGTGCTGTCTGCTCTTGCTTCTGATCTGGTGGTTTTTGCGACTGCGTCATCTTCTGTGGGCCCGGCTTGTGCTGTGCTTTAGACAGCAGCGAGGATGGCGGCTGAACCTTGGCCTGCTGCTGCTGCTTTTGCTGCTGCTGCTGCGGCGCATCTAGCTTCATCGGAAGCTCCTGCTGAGCCTCCTGCTGCTTGGGTCGGCGAGGCGACATGGTGAAGTAGCCGTCGCTGGCATCCTCTCCTCTAGCCCCCTCGGGCCCCCGTGTGACATCCCGCCCTCCGCTCTTCTCCTCATTTCCTGCGCTTGCGGCCGCCTCGCCCGTCACCCCGGTCACCCCGGTCACCCCCGTCACCCCGGTCACCCCGGACGTCCCGGAGGCGGTCTTGGCCTTTGCCGAAGGCGGCAGCACAGAACGAAAACTGGGTGGCCGCGAATGTGCTTGGTCCCGTGGCCAGGCCACTGGCTCCCCTGGCGACGGTGTTCCCGCGGACAGCGACCGGGCTAGGCGCGCCCGCCCGCCCACGTGACCTGTTATGGCATCGCCCGCCGGGGCCTTGGCAGGCGCCGTTTTCTCAGCAGCCGCTACGGGATGGGGCACGGAGGCGTTGGGCGAGGGGGAGGAGTAGTTTGGCCCAGACGTAGGCCCAGACGGTGGCACTTTGGCGCTGGGTTCTCGCCGAGATGGTTCGGAGCCACAGCCGGGAGACGTGGGTGCGGTGGAGGAGGCGGCGGTGCTCGCAGGGCCCGGTCCACGCGTCTTCAGCGCCAGCTTCGTCTCGAGCGCCCGCACGGCTTCGTTGAGCTTGCCGAGCGCTGCGCGGCGGTGCTCGCGATCCTGCTGCCGTTCCCTCTCCCATTCCTTCGCTCGCTCCCGTTCCCGCTCCCTCTGCTGCTCCTGATGTCTTTCCATCTCCCTCTCCTTTTTGACGTGCTCTTGCGCTTTCCTCCTCTGCTTCTCTCGTTCTTTCTGCTTCTCCCTCTCGTGTTCACGCTCCCGTGCTCTCGTGTTGGGCAAGCAGTCTAGGGACACAGCCCTCCGTGCATGCACATTCTCTTCTCTCTCTCTGCCCCTGCCCCTCTCCCTGCCCCTCTCCCTGCCCCTCTCGCAGCCCCTGTCCTCATTGGCCTTCTCCTTGTCCCCGAGATTCGGCGTCAGGAGGCGCGCTATGTCCTGGGCCCAGCCCTGGGCCCTGTTGCCAACCCTCACATCCCCGGCCGCCGACAATGGTGCCGAGGGCCTCGTGCTGCTCGCACTGCGTCTTTTCCTTCTCTTTGACCCGAACGAGCCCCCAATTTGTTCCACACCGGGGCGGACTCCCGCTTCCGAGGTCATCCACGCGGCACCACTCTCGTCCCCTTCCACATCCACGCGAGCGCCCCCCGGCGTGGGCATCATGTCCCAGCTGCCGACAGCGGCCACTCCAAGCGCCATCGCCTCGGCGAGCCGAACCTCCAGCTCCGCGTCGTTGTTCATGGTGGCCACCTCCTCCTCAAACGCCGGCTCGTGGGAGTCACAGTGCCCGGCTGGGGCAGCTCCGCCAGGGCCCACACTCCTGTCTTCACACGCCTCGAAAACCTCTTCTTCGTCGTCGTCGGTGTCCAAGTAAATCTTCCAGTGGTCCATGTCGGACGGAGTGATTTTCCCAGCGGCTGGGGCGAGCGTGCCGGTCAGCAGGGGGTGGGTGGAGCTCCCTGGATCCAGTGGGCCCATGGTCTCCACCGGCCCCGTGCTCCGCGAGTCGGCACCCTCGCTCAGGCTCCGCTCCAGGCGCATGTGCCTCCCGATGACATTGCTCAGGTGGCTGCTCGCTCGCGCTACCTCCTCCACCTCGGCCTCCACTTTGGCTTCGCCCTCCTTCTCCCTGCCCCTGCCGCCCCCCGACACGGACGCCCCGCCCTTTGTCTCGCTCCTTTGCGTCTTGGGCAGCGGTCTCACCGCCCCGGCGTCGAGCGCCCTCTTGTCGGGGCCGCAGCAAGAACCGGCGCCCGAGTGTGGACTCCCGCCGGCGGCGCCGCCGCCGCTACGAACCACGCCGCTCAGGCCTGGCGGCTCCTCCACTGCTGTGCTCGCTGGTGCCGGCATGCGGGGGCCACTGTCCGACGATCGGCGCGCACCGATCGAGCGTGAGATGGCGGGCTGCTCCGTGCCGCAACTCAGCGGCCGTGCTGCTTTGAGCCTCTTGTCCGCTGCCCCCCCCTCGCTCCACCGACGCCCCCATGACTCTCCCAACCTCTCCCGCGTCGTCACGTCCTCCCCTATGCCGCTGGCTTCCTCCACCACTGACGCCCGATTTGCACTGGCCGACCCCTTGATTTTGTCCAGCCCTGGGCTCTGCTCAGTCGAAACGCCGCCGCCCCCTGCAACCCCGAGTGCCCCCTCGGGGTCTTTGGAGTCATCGGGCGGGCTCTCGGCTCGGCACAGCAAGCGGAACCCAGCCACCATGTATCGCACGGGGCCTCCACCACCGCCACCGCGGCCTCCACCGCGCCCTCCACCACGACCTCCACCACGGCTTCCGCCTCGGCCACTGCTGTTGCCGCCACTGCCACCCTCGACGCCAAGCTGAGCCCCGTGAGATGGACTGCCTGTGGGGTGTGACCCGGAATGCGTGTCGCCGGTTGAGACAGTGGGCGAGCTGGTGTGCGCACCGACCACGACGCCTGATGTCTGCTGCTTGGATATGCCGTTGGTAAAGATGGCCGTGGCAGCTTTTGGCGTGCCGGTGTCTGTGCCGGCGAGTGTACTGGCGTTTGAGACGATGGTGTGTGCTCCAGTGGAACTGCCCGACGGTTGCTGCCTGTACGTGGCGTTTTTAAAGTTGGGTGTGGTGGCAGCATTAAGCGTACTGCCGTTTGAAAAGGTGTGTGTGATGGAACGGGAGCTGGCACGTGTGCTGGTGTCTACGCTGGTCGTGCTGCCCGACGTCTGCTGCTTGAAAGTTCTGTTCGTGACAGCGGGCGCAGTGTAGTGCGGGTTGCCAGCTTGTGTGGCTGGGGAGTGCGGTTTGGCGAGTGGCGATGTGGTGGAGCTGCTGCTGGTGGCTGCGAGTGCTGAGTGGGACGTGTGCATGGCTGCGTTTCGGGTGCCGGTGGTGGGAGCGCTGGCCGGACCCCCCTCCTTCTTCTTGCCAAGTGTGGTGCTGATGGTGTGCGGGCTGTGTTTTGTATTAGCGGCCACGGTGGGACCCCCCGTGTTGTTCCTGGGTGCGGCGTGCAGCGGGCCCTGGTGTGAGCCGGCAGTGTGAGCGGCGTTCTGCTGTGAGCCGGTGCCGTGCGTGAAGCCGTTCTGTGGGTCAGCGGTGTGTGCGGTGCTCTGGTACGAACCGGCAGTGTGTGTGGTGCTGTGGTGCGCTATCTTGATCGCCGTGTGCACAGACTTGGTCGTGGTGGTGGTGGTGGCGGTGTGCAGTTTGGCAGACTGCTGCTGGGTCGTGCTGGTAGTGGTGGTGGTGCGGCGTGCGGATTGTTGCTGGCCGTTGTGCGACATCAGCAGGGCGGTGCTGGCACGCGCCGCTGCATGCTGGGTCTTCCTCCAGATGCCCAGCTCCACGTACGTCGGCCATTTGTCGGGTTCCTGGCCTGGCGTGGTCAGGGCCTTCCCGTCGCACGGGGTGGGCGTGGCAGCCTCGTCAGCATCGTAGGAGGTGACGTCACAGGGTGTGGGCGTGGTCTCGTCGCCGCAGGAGGAGATGGGCGTGGTGATGCGCTTGAAGGTTCGTGACGTGAGGTTGCGCACCTCGTTGTCGGCCTCGTCCAATCCCGAGCCCCCGTCGCTCGAAGCGTCGCTCACATAGCCCAGGGTGGCAACGCCCGCCATGGCAGCTGCTTGAGAAGGAGTGGGGGGGGGGGTTAAAGGAACGGGGTTAGGGGTCAGGAAAGCAAATACTTCACTCTTTTACCTCTCATGGATACACGTGTAGAAAACATTAGATTCTGAAGAAAAGAATTGTGTCTCGAGATAATAAAAGAGCATTATATCAACAATAGAATCCCGAGATGACAATATAATCTAAAAAAACAATAGCATATCAAGACAATAGAATATCAAGATAATAGAAACTCAAGACAGCAATATAATCCCAAGACAATTGAATCTAAGGTCAACAATAGAATTTCAGCAAGGCAACAATAGGATGCACGAAATTCAACTAACTGCGAAACAATCTGAGGAAGGACGGACCTCTCGTTACCGCCACGGTAACCGGCTCGACCTCCCCATGAACCCAATCTGGGGTCGGCGGGGCGAGACAATTGGACTAAGTGGGGGTCAACTGGGGAGCGCTTGCAAATGCTGCGATGGAGTCCTGCCGAGGTTGCCAATGGCTCGGCCAAGAAACCCGTGGTGGATGCAATCGTCAACCACTCCGGGGCGGTGAACGCTCTCGCCGCTGCGCAGGCCTCTTGCGCGATTGGGACGTCACAGATGGGGGCCCACGGTGCAGGGCCCTGTGGCCACGGGAACCTGACAAAGTACCAAACCGTGAACTGCTGCATCGGTCTACTAGGCCCGCTTTCCGGCGGACCGGATGACATTAAATTTCGATTTAAAGCTTTCGTGACTGCAGTGATTCATCTTCTTGGTTCTTTCGGTAAAGTCACGTAGAAGGAAAATAATAAAATAATAAAAAATAAAACATTTTTAATTCTCACGACGTTTCGGCCACAACGCAAGCAGCCATCCTCAGGTGAAGAACAGGGCTGTCGGAAAGACAGCGTCATAATGAACACTGCTAAGGACGCTGTCTTTCCGACAGACCTGTTCTTCCTGTTCTTCACCTGAGGACGGCTGCTTGCGTTGTGGCCGAAACGTCGTGAGAATTATTTTATTATGTTTTATTTTTATTATTTTATTATTTCCCTTCTACGTGACTTTACCGAAAGAACCAAGAAGACGGATGACATTAGTCACGCTACTCCTGAAGCTTTTCGAGAGTGGCTCACAAACTTCAACCTGGACGTGTAGTTTACACAAACTTGCCATGCGCTAAACGTTTCAAGACAACAATAGATGTCTAAGACAATAGCATCTCAAGAAATGAGAGAATCCCAAGACAACAATATGATCACTAGACAATGACATCTCAAGATAACAAAATAATCTAGAAAAAATGTAATCCTTAAAACGAGTAAATCTCAAGGCAATTAAAAAAATTTTGTCCCAAGACAACAAACTAATCGGTAAACTATTTTTATTTTACCAGGTAAGACCTACTGAGCTGTATAGCTCTTTTTCAGAAGCGACCTGGCCACAAATGATAGCCCACAAAGTGGCTTATCACGTGCAAATTTATAGCAGCCAAATGATCTAAACGCATTTTCAAAATGTCCGAGAAAAATCCACATGACCACGGTTAGAGAGAGAGAGAACACGCAAACTCCCAATATACAGCAGGCGTTGGGGTCGGAATCGAACCCACGACCTCCTGTATACCAGGCGAGGTAGTTAACATCTCCTAGCCACCGTGGCGCCCCAAGATACTCTCGGGATAACAATAGCATCCCAGAATAATAGAATCCCAAGAAAACAATGTGTGCTCGAGAAATCGAGGCTCGCGGCGCCAGTCCCGCGTTTCTTGATCGCCGTCTGCACAGACAATTACAATTGCATCCACCACCACCATCATCGCTACGAAAGACAAAGATTCCCCGTATAGCCTCAAACAGACTGTTGGGGCAAGTACTGTTAGAGAGTAGCACCTACGAAGAAAGTCGGCACGGTACACGAGGAGTTGGGGTGGATATAACCACCCCTGGCCGCCTTTGTCTTTAAAAAAAGTGGCGATGTTTACACACCACTCCAGGTACTCATTTGAGGCTGGGTCGACCTAGGAAAAACCCAGGACCGTGTTCAGATACTCGCCACCACCATCACCAACACCACGCGGTTATCTCCTGTGACCTCAAACGTTTCCAGGAAGGTCCTCACTGGAAAGAGTTTCTGGGAAACAGCAGCCGTCTCTACCCCCTCGCGCACGAACTTGAAGCGCCCTTCAACTGCGGGAGAACGAGGCTACACTCATTACACACAACGTGACTGCAGGGATTCATCTTCCTGGTTCTTTCGGTGAAGTCACGTAGAAGGGAAATAATAAAATAATAAAAATAAAACATAGTAAAAATAAAATAACGCAAGCAACCGTCCTCGGGTGAAGAACGAATGTTTCATTCTGCACCTGAGGACGGCTGCTTGCGTTGTGGCCGAAACGTCGTGAGAATTATTTTATTGTGTTTTATTTTTATTATTTTATTACTTCCCTTCTACGTGACTTTACCTCTTCACCTGAGGACGGCTGCTTGCGTTGTGGCCGAAACGTCGTGAGAATTATTTTATTATGTTTTATTTTTATTATTTTATTACTTCCCTTCTACGTGACTTTACCTCTTCACCTGAGGACGGCTGCTTGCGTTGTGGCCGAAACGTCGTGAGAATTATTTTATCATGTTTTATTTTTATTATTTTATTACTTCCCTTCTACGTGACTTTACCGAAAGAACCAGGAAGATCCGCTCATCTTCGCAGCGCTCTCAGATGTGCTTTTGCAGCTGTCTGAAACGCTCTTTCACCCAATTTTAGGAAGCCATTGGAGCTGCTAAATCTCGATTGAAAACGAATTTCTTTAGAACTGCTTTAGGTTTGTTGACCGTCCCCCGCACCTTTTATCAGCATGTTTGGCTACGTATGGTGCAAACAAAGTTCAACATACATACATCCCATTCACTCTGGTAGCCCTGCCTCGTTTTGTTCTGCCTCATTTGTATTATTCTGTCTACTTTGTATTATTCTGTTAACTTTGTATTTTCTCATCTCGATTGTATTGACCATCTTGTTTGTATTCTTGTTTCTTTCGTTGAAGTCACGTAGAAGTGAAACAATAAAATAATATAAATATTAAACATAATTTAATTCTCACGACGTTTCGGCCACAACGCAAGCAGCCGTCCTCAGGTGAAGAACAGGTCTGTCGGAAAGACAGCGTTCTAATGAACACTGCTAAGGACGCTGTCTTTCCGACAGCCCTGTTCTTCACCTGAGGACGGCTGCTTGCGTTGTGGCCGAAACGTCGTGAGAATTGTATGATGTTTAACTATTTATTATTGTATTATTTCCCTTCTACGTCACTTTACCGAAAGAACCAAGAATATGAATCCCTACAGTCACGAAAGCTTTACATCGAAATGTATCTCGTTTGTATTGTTCGGTCTCGATTATATTGTTCTGTCTCGATGGTATTGTTACGTCTCTATTGTATTGTCTGTCTCTATTGTAGTATTTTTCGTTTGCATTGTTCCGTCTCGTTTGTTTCACACACGCACACCTGCCCGCGTTTGCCTGACACAGAGAGGACGCGCGTAGCAGCCACACAATCGCAGTGAAACATCCACACTCATAGTCACACACACGTGATTACACTCACACACGCTGAAACACACACGGCCACCTGCTGTTATACACACGTGTACCAGCTGTCAATCACACACACACATGTGTACCTGCTGTGACACACACACACATGTGTAGCTGCTGTGACACACACACACACGTGTACATGATGTGACACACACACACACGTGTACATGCTGTGACACACACGCACACACGTGTACATGCTGTGACACACACACACGTGTACCTGCTGTGACACACACACACGTGTACATGCTGTGACACACACACACACGTGTACATGCTGTGACACACACACACGTGTACCTGCTGTGACACACACACACACGTGTACCTGCTGTGACACACACACACGTGTACCTACTGTGACACACACACACGTGTACCTACTGTGGACACACACACACACACACGTGTACCAGCTGTGACACACACACACACACGTGTACCAGCTGTGACACACACACACACGTGTACCTGCTGTGACACACACACACGTGTACCTACTGTGACACACACACACGTGTACCAGCTGTGACACACACACACGTGTACCTACTGTGACACACACACACACACGTGTACCTGCTGTGACACACACACGTGTACATACTGTCACACACACACACACGTGTACCTGCTGTGACACACACACACACACGTGTACCTACTGTGACACACACACACACACACGTGTACCTGCTGTGACACACACACGTGTACCTGCTGTGACACACACACAACGTGTACCTACTGTGACACACACACACGTGTACCTGCTGTGACACACACACACACGTGTACCTACTGTGACACACACACACACACGTGTACTTTACTGTGACACACACACACACGTGTACCTGCTGTGACACACACACACGTGTACCTGCTGTGACACACACACACACGTGTATCTACTGTGACACACACACACACACGTGTACCTACTGTGACACACACACACACGTGTACCTACTGTGACACACACACACACACACATGTACCAGCTGTCAATCACACACACACACACACGTGTACCAGCTGTCAATCACACACACACGTGTACCTGCTGTGGACACACACACACACGTGTACCTGCTGTGACAACACACACATCGTACCTGCTGTGACACACACAAAAATACCTTACCCACGTGTACCTACTGTGACACACACACACGTGTACCTACCGTGACACACACACACACGTGTACCTGCTGTCACACACACACACACGTGTACCTACTGTGACACACACACACACGTGTACCTTCTATGACACACACACACGTGTACCTACTGTGACACACACACACACACGTGTACCTACTGTGACACATACACACGTGTACCTACTGTGACACACACACACACACGTGTACCTGCTGTGACACACACACACACCGTGTACCTGCTGTGACACACACACACGTGTACCCTGCTGTGACACACACACATATGTACCTATTGTGACACAACACACGGTACCTACTGTGACACACACACGTGTACCTACTGTGACACACACACGTGTACCTCCTGTGACACACGCACACGTGTACCTACTGTGACACACACACGTGTACCTACTGTGACACACACACACACACACACGTGTACCTACTGTGACACACACACACACATGTACCTACTGTGACACACACACACGTGTACCTACTGTGACACACACACACACACACGCCACTCGCTCAGTCTCCCACTCACTCTCACTCGGCGCTGCTCGAGGTTGAGAGTCCGCGTGGCGCTGCGAGCAGAGCCGCAGTGGTTTGGGTCGGCGGCGGGAGGGGGGTTTTAGGGGGCGAGTCGGGGGGGGGCGGGGGGGCATGGGAACGCACAAGACAGAGACAAAGATCCCCCGTATAGCCCACGCAAGGCTGTCGGGGCAAGGTGCGCGAGTAGCACCTGCGAATTCAGGCGCGCCACGCGAAGAAGTGGAGTTGCCAGAACCACGCCCCGGCCGCTTTTGCCTCAGGCACTCACTTAAGGCTGAGTCGACCTAGGGACGCCCACGACTGGGTCAAATATTCATCACTGATGTTGGTCGTGAGCGGGCGGGGAATCGAACTCTGATCGCCGGTTTCGGAGCAAAGTTGCGCCAACCACCCACGGTGCCAACACACGCAGACACAAGACAAAGACCCCCCATGTAGCCTTACACAGTCCGTTATGTAAGTGCTGTTAGCGAGCACCACGCGCGGTCGCCTTTGTCTCCCCAGTGGCGATGTTTAAACACCGCGCACAGGTACTCATTCGAGGCTGAGTCGACCTAGGGGAGGCCGGGACGGGTTCAGATAATCGTCACCGGGTTGGCCGTGAGTGGGAATCGAACTCGGGTCTCCGGGTTCGTAGCGCAGCGAATAACCACTACTCTACCGCCCCCCTCAACATATATACACACACACAGTCACACACACACACAGTCACACACACAATCTCACACACATACAGTCACACACACACACAGTCACACACACACAGTCACACACACACACACACTGTCACACGGTCACACAGTCACACACACAGTCACACAACAACAACAACAACCGCCATTCGCCACTAAGTGGCGGTGACGTCACCACGATGCTTGTGCCAGGCCAAGTGCACCTTGAGGCCACGTGAAAGTGTCGAAAGCCCGCTGGCAGGAGGTCACGGGGCAGACCCAGGTGCCACGGGTCGACTGACCGAGATGACCGAGATGACTGGCTGATGCACCACCTGTGCCCCCTACTGTGCCAACTTGCTGTGCTTTAGCCACCCGGCGCTCCGCTCGTTGTTGTGAGCGTCGCTCCTCCGCCCTCCGTTGTTGTTGGAGGGCGACTGCCTCCAACTGCCCAGTAGCGTCCTTCACGAGCCTCCTCCACTGAGGCCGATCTTGACACCGCTGGTACCAGTCATCGGCAAGTCCACTCAGCTCCACGTCCTCCTGTACCACATCACTCCATCTCTTCTCCAGCCCGTGCCGCGCCCGTCTAGCCCCCTCGATCCGGCCGAACAAAAGCTGTTTAGGCATGCGGTGGCTGGGCATGCGGGCTACATGACCCAGCCAACGCAGCCTTGCCTGCCGGAGGAGCTCACTGATGGGACTTTGCCCAGATCTTTCAAGGATTTGTGAGCTCCTCACACAATCCAGCCTGGTTAAACCCAGGATGGATCGTAGGCAGGCCAGCCTAAATGTTTCCAACCGGCGAAGATGCTCCACCAGGGGGGTCCACGTCTCGCAAGCGTAGAGAAGGGAGGGAATGACCGTGGCCGAGAAGACCTGAAGCTTCGTGCGGAGCGACAGACCAGGTAGCTTCCACACAGCGTTACGCAACCGATGAAAAGATATTGCCCGCTCGACTGATTCGGAGTGAGACCTCTGCTGATAGACTGGAGCCGGTCATAAGCACACTGCCCAGGTATGGGAACTCTCCACTCTCTCCACAACTGCCCCATCACCAATTGGGAGTTGTGGGGGTGGAGTGTCCGATGGTACAAAATACCCAGGCAGGTGCTTAGTTTTGGTGGGGCTGATGGTAAGGCCCCACCTCTTAGTGGCACGCTCCAGTCTCAGCAGCAGCGCCTCCAACTCCTCTTCTGAATGAGCAGCTATTACCAAATCATCGGCATACATAACGTGGTTGACCAATAGGGAGCCATCCCTTGATCGCACCCGGGCATCGATCAGCCTCCCATTATATCTGTACCAAATGGAAATTCCCCCGGTACAGCTATTGAAGGCTTCACGAACTACGCGGTCAAAATAGATGTTAAATAATGTGGGAGCCAGAGGACATCCCTGTCGCACCCCAAGGTGTACAGGGAAAGGCTCCGACTCCCGGCCACGTAGTTTTACCCGGGCCGCTCACCATCATGAAGGTCCTTAATGATCGTGAGCAGAGGGTCAGGGACTCCGAAAGCACGAAGAACAACCCAGAGCCCAGTCCTACTGATGGTATCATAGGCCTTGACCAGGTCAATAAAGCAGAGATGTAGGTCTTTTTGGAATTCCCTACACCTCTGCTGTAGCAGACGGACAGAAAATATGGCATCTGTGCAGGACCGCCCTTTCCTGAAACCGCATTGGGGCTCCGCAAGCCTCTCCTCAGCGTGCCTAGCAAGGCGATGTTGAATAATCCTTGCCAGGACCTTACCCGGCACACTGAGGAGTGAGATGCCCCTGTAGTTGTTACAGTCGGTACGGTCCCCCTTCTTAAAGAGGGGGACCACCAGGGCATCCTTCCAGTCCTGCGGAACCCGTCCAGTGGTCCAGACTGTTGTTATGATGTCATATAGGGCAGTCTGTGCACAAACGCCACCCTCCCTCAGCATTTCGCTTGGGAGATCATCTCTGCCCGAGTGCCTTCCCTGGTCTCAGACTCCGGATCGCCCTCAGTACTTCCTCAACAGCTGGCACCTCAGCCAGCCACTCACAGGGGGTGACCTCTTCCAATATTTGAGGCACCGCAGCCTCAGCAGGTTATCACCACTTTGTGCCATGATGTTTTCCTGGCTGAGAGAATTTCCCTCCCCCAGGACCTCACAGAAATGCTCAGCAAATCTGCAAACCTGTTCCTGGGGGTCGGAGATTGGATCACCGTTTTTTCCTCTAATGATGGTAATAGGTGTGGCGCTGCAGGTTACTTTTTTTGATGGAGTTAAATAGTGATTTGTGATCACGGGCCACTGAGGCAGACTCCATCTCCTCAGCAACCCGCGACCACCACCCATCCTTACAGCGCCTTACGGCTCTCCGAACTTCTGAGCGAAGGCTGCGGTAAACCTCCTCATTCTCTGACGTGGGATGCTGTAGGCGATGAGAGTGGGCCTGTACGCTTTTTCTCAATTAACCTGAACACCTCCTCTGTCAGCCAGGGTTTCTTGGGAGGTCTGGACCGCGTACCCAAAGCAGCCATTGCAGCTGCATGAGTCACAGTCTTAAACCTCTGCCCCATTTTCCCCTCGCATCATCGGTGGAGTGGGTGACGATGCCAACCCCAGCTGCAGCGATGATGAAATTCTCGCTTGCAAACTTTCTCAGCTACTGGAGACCAGCCACTTTGGTTGGATGGGATCCTGGGTGTACATCCCACCACCGGAGTGGAAGAAAGGGCAGGCGCATCTTACAGATGACTAGGCGATGGTCCAGAGGACAGATCAGCTCCACGGTAGGTCCTGGTGTCAAGGACATGGGTTCGCAATCCGCTGGTCCGTCACTACGTAGTCCAGCAGATGTTCTTGCTTGGACCCGGCAGGTATCCATGATGTTGTGTGGATGCGCCGATGCCGGAAGAGCGTGTTGGTAATTACAGCCCATGGCTGCACAAAATCTAGCAGCCTCCTACCGTTATTATTGAGCTGATCTGGCCCATGCCTTCCAATCACTCAGACCAGGTGACAGCATCATGACCAACTCGGGCATTGAAGTCACCCAACAAGATGACTCTGTCCCGAGTGGCCACTTTAGCCAGCACCTGTGACAGGAGGTCATAGAAAGCGTCTGACTCATCGGCTTGCCTGCATCCCTCCACGGATGTTCAGTCTTCGGTGGGGGCATAAGTAACCACGACACCACTCTCGCCTCTGGTTGATGGGAAGGCGAGCCCAAAGTATCCTGGGGCTTACAGCTTCCACACCTCACCGCCACGCTCCCACGCCCCCCTTCACTTCTTTTGTTCAGAAGAAGAGCCCACACCCTGTTGTTTTGGCAGTCTCCTGCCCCGAGTAGAGGACTGTCAACACCTCATGGTGGCAGGAGCCAGAACCGGTCCACCGGACCTCCTGAATGCCGCGAGATCCAGGCAGGTACCGGTCCAGCTCCCGACAGAGTAAGTGGCAGGACCTCTCCTCCGCAGTGAGCGTCGAACATTCCACGTGGCCATCCGCAATGGTTTTTTGTTGTTTCTGGAGGAGCCCCGAGGGTGAAAATTCAATCTCCTGGCTCCGCCAAATGGGGTTTGGCCAGGAGACGTCATAAAAGCCTGACCCCCCGGGGCCTCCGGCACAAGCTTATTTGTTACAGGTTTATGTTTAATTCGTGGTTTAGTGGTGGTTAATTGAAGGTGGAGGGGTTACCAGCCCCTCACACCCGTCCAGAGCCCCCGTTTAGCCACTGTGGTGGTCACAGACGCCATGAGGGGAGAGGCCAATGGGCATTGGCCCTCCCCCCACAGC